CTTTCCCTCTTCTTCTCCCTTCCCTTTTTGACCCCCTCACTCTCTAATTATGATTCTCTCTTCTGTAATCTTCTCTTCTGTTTCTTCCTAATGTTGTAATTACTTTTCAAACTATTCTTTTTTGGGGTTGTTTTTTCAAATCTTAAATTTTTCACTCTCTTTCCCCGCCTTTCCTTTCTTTTCCCCACATAGAAATACTTGGTCATTGAAGATGGCTTCTTCTTTGTCCCACCCTTCTTGTTCTACAGGCATTTCTTGTTGTTTCTCATAGTTCAGGATCTCCATTTCTAAAAATTGAAATACGAAGCCAAAAGAACCTCTTCCTTCTTGTGCATCTTCTTTCTGTTTTTTTAAGTTCCATTCTCAATTCTTCCAAGAGTGATACCATTTTGGAAACTTTTAAACAACCACCCGATTAATTTTAGTCCTTTAGATCCAGTAGCCAAAAATCCAAAAATCACCAAGTAATCCAAATAATCCAAAGCTGTCTCCCCACTCTTCACCACCTCTATGGGGTGGCTTAGCCCTGAAACCAGCCAGCTCGGGGCGCTCCAGCGGCGAGCACAGATCGAAACTGCGCACGTTCGCAGATTTCGGTCTGTCGCCGAAGAGACTCAAACCAGAACAGCATCACTGGAGGTTTTTAAGAGAAATTGGACAGCCATTTGTCCAGAATGATGTAGCATCTTCTGCTTGAGCAGGGGGTTGGACTAGAAGACCTCCAAGGTCCCTTCCAACCCTGTTATTCTATGTTCTAAAACTCCAAGAAAGTCTAGTTGCCTTTTGGAAAAAGCACCTTTGGGACATCCATGACCTGGATGCTTGAGAATCTTCGTAGATATACTCTCAGACTCTTCTGATTTTTTTGCTACTATTGTGAACATGGCTTATCTTCTGTAAAGCTCCTGATTTAAGGCTAGATTTACTACAGAGGTAAGACAGACAAACCAACCCGTTGGATTTCTACCCTATTTGTTGATTGAGACTTTTGAGACTTAGTCCAATGGGGAGGGGGGGAATGGGGACACAGTGATTGCTAAGGATGCCTCAAGGAGCCAAAAGATGATGCTGAACACAGAGTTCAGGCCACATGACAGCATCTGTGGGCAGAATCACAAGCAATTGTGCTGGTTACCACCACGGCAGCTGACTCTGAGTTCCTCACTTACATAAATACTTGAAAGCATCATCATGACAATCCATTCTTTGGGACTACAGGAATTCATATCTCACGGAAGAAATATTCTGCAAAAAGAAACCAAAGGTCAGCATTCCAATTAAATTCTCCATGCGATTCAAAACTCCAAGACAAAGTCCATCAAAGTAACTTTCTGACTAGCAAAGTCAATGGGGAAACCAGATTCAATTAACAACCTGTGACTGATTTTAACAACGGCTGTCTGTGTTCCAACTAAACTCTCCATCCTGATTCAAAACTCAGAGACAAAAGCCGTCAAAGTAAGAATTTATTAGAGAAGTCACATTGGCACATCTGGGGCAAACCTGAATCTGAATTCCCGCATTTCCCCCCTCCACACTAAAACTCACACCCTGCCCCAATTTATGACTCCTCAGTCACATTGGCCAATCCACCTCATTTCTGAACTCCCGCCAATTCCAGTCACTCCCCACCAAACTCCAGCAACGGGTCCTTGATTTCTGGCGAAAGAACGTTGTGGCTTTCTACTCCCTTCATCGCTCTCCCGTTCCCACAGCTTGTCCGTCCCCTGTGGTGGCAGCCCTGAATCTGAATCAAGATGGATCTGGGGCTGACCCCCAAACACACACAGAATTCTTCTATGGTTCTTTTTATCAAACAGCCTTATCAACTCAAGTCAATTCATCCTAAAGCATCCTAAAGGTTTTCCACCCGGGCTACACAGCGAATGGTGGGACTGCAGCTCCCCCTAGTGCTGAAATGAGTGGGGATTAAATTGAGCACCGATAATAACAGATGACTGCAGACCAAGTGGAAAGCATAAAAGTTTTTGCGCTGCAAATTGCAAAAAAGAGTTAGGAATTATACAGAAAGCTAAGATTTTGCCTGGCTAATATAGTCATAGCTTCGAAGATACAGTGGCTAAAAGTATCAGTCACTGTAGGATTAAATAGAAGCAAACTGAATTCCAATGGAAATTTTTGCAGGATGAAGCTTCTATCTATCCTATTTAAAAAATATATAAACCTCTTCCACACATTTATTGGCCCATTGGGAATGTATGTATTTATTTATATTTCTTAATTGCCCGTCTCCCTTGGATAGGGGTTGGGTGTTGGTAAATGCTGTAGTATTACCCAAAATATTCTGGTGTATCCCCTGTGGCATAGTGTCAGTTAAAGAACGTCACCCAGAAAGCCAACCTTCCCTGTAGATTTGGTCATTGAAGATGGCTTCTTCTTTGTCCCACCCTTCTTCCCACCCTCCCACCTGCCCCCTGGGACACCATTCCCTGACCCCCACTTTAGCCTTGGTCTGCTGAGTCTTTGGACAAGCTTTCAAGATCGGATTCTGCTTTCAAGAGTGGGAATGGGAACAGTAGCTGGAGCCCGCAGGGCACTTCTAATTCATTGGATTTGTTTTCTACCTTTGTGGTCTTTTTAGGCCAGGTGTCCCACTTGGAACTGGGCCCTGCAAACAGCAGGTGTGTCTTTGTGCACACAGCTCCATTTTCATAAGCGGCGGGCTCTCACCGCGGTGGCAGACAAAATGGGCCATCATGTGCACATGTGCGTGCCCCCCACCTCCGCTCACACAAACATAGCGCTCATGCCTGCTGCTTGCATGGAGCCAAGTCCTCTCCTTCCCCTCCATTCCCCCCACAAAGCCAGAAAGTTTTTTTTTTGGGGGGGGGACACTATTTTAGGCTTTGTGTATCAATTGGTTCCTGTGGTTGATATTTTAATATTTTGTTGCCCAAAGTCACTAAGGTGATATGAGTAGCCATGAAAATCTATGTAAACCAGTGACGTGTCAACTAATTTGTAGCTATGTAACGGGAAGAAAAGAATAAGTTTTCCTCAATTGAGGACAATACAAGAGCACCTTTAATGTACAGTGTTTTATAGACATGATAAATAATAGCAGCAGTGGTGGAAAAAGCCTTTTGAAGGGATGAGGGAGTTCTCCAAAGGGGCCTTACTCTCCACCATTCCTTGGTGTCCTTCTGCAACCGTCCCGTGTCTTTGACAGTCCTCATTGCAAGCCGGTCAAAGTACATCATAACAACAGCCGTAGATGGCCAGGAAACCGCTGCTTCTTCCTCACCCTTCTTCACGCCCATTGGTTCCTTCTACTCCTTCCTTTATCAGGGATCTGCTAAGGCGGGCATGCTGAGCCGCGGCTCTTTCTCAGCTGGTGCTTCTCCACAAGCAACGACATCGTTTCAATAGGGGAGAGAGATCTTCTGCTGACATTTGGCAGTTTAGGGCAGGGGTCCCCAAATTTGGCCACTTTAAGACTTGTGGACTTCAACTCATGCTGGCCATACTGGCTGGAGAATGCTGGGAGCTGAAGTCCACAAGTCTTAAAGTGGCCAAGTTTGGAGACCTCTGGTTTAGGGAAGGGTCCCCCTGATCCTGGGTAGCAGAAGACCCTCACTGACTTAACCAGTAGCCAAAATTGTACCAAAGTAATGGAGACGTGGCTCTTCCTGCCAAGGTAGCTGAGCTCTGCTGTCTTTTGGGATTCCGGATTGGGGAGTTCAATAAATATTGGAAGTATCAGTAGAATTTGTAGCTCAAGGTTGAACTGTGGAGTCCTTGGTACTCTCTGAGCTGGCTTATTTGCCCGCAGACATTTACCCAACCAGGTAGCATCATCAGCCTGGCAGCTGGGGATGTCCATTCTACAGGAGAGGCTTGTGGCTCATCTATTCGGAACAGAGCAGAACTCGTGAGAACGGAGGATATTCAGCAGGACTGAGCAGGCCTAACGGTTGCCAAAAGATGATGCAAAAGTGGCGGTGGGGAACTTACAGCCATTGGGCTTGTCAGAATATATTCATGAGCTGGAGTAGAGCCCGGTAACAAGGTCAGCCAATGAATAGGCATAGCAACTAAGTCAGCCAATGAGGACTGTTTGGAAACTGAAACTAGAAGTAGCCTAGAAGTGGCTCTACATTAAGCTCTGAATCTGTATTGAGTTCCGAGTCTGTCTGTTGAAAGTGAAACGGCTTCTCTCCTCTGGCTTGCCTGCTGAACTAAAGTAAAAGAGAAACTAACTTGCTTGCTTGCTGAAGACTGGAGCTCTGCTCTGAACTTGCAACATGTTTCTATTTGAGTTTGCTTCCTGTTGGAGAAATCTACAACCGGTATTGTAAAATCTACTTATTATGTTTATAAAAACAAGCATCAGCCATCTGTGTTTATTTTTCTGGCGCTGAATTAACGCTGCAAAACTCTGAATAGGGCTGCATGTACAGCCCATGCAGCACCATGAGCTAGACTCTGCAGGTTGGGAGTGCTGCAGCGTTTGTATTTTGAAGCTGTTAAATGTGTTAAGACACCTAATTTTTACCTATCTCCGCGCTTCTTTCTAGCACCTCCAGATAGGCTGGTTCCCATCCCTGGAGACTCTCTCAGGTCACCTAGGTGCCTCTGGCAGCTTCTGAAGCAGAAATGAACATCCAACACTCACACCCTCCCTGAGATTGCCTCCTGCTCCCCTCCAATCTTGGGGTCTCCAAACTTAGAACTTTAAGACTTGCGGACTTCAACTTCATGGCTGGCTGAGGAATTCTGGGAGTTGAAGTCCACAAGTCGTAAGTCCCAAGTTTGGTGACCCCCCTGCTCTAAACTAAAGCATGGCTGCTTCCGAGTCTGGAGAAATGTGACTCTGCCCTGGGAACCCTGCCTATCTTTCCCACCTTCCTGGCCTCCTCACAGCACAGTCACACAAAATAATGGCTGGCCAGGCCTCTCAGGGAGCAGAAGGAAGAAGAGAAGAAGCCAAAGAAGAGTAGTCCATTCCCTCTTGCAGCCCTGAGACTCCAGCTGGGTCCTTATAGCTGTCGGAAGTTGCAGAGGTCTTCATCGCCATCAATTTTGAGCCCCTGCAGCAATGGGAAATCAAGCAGGGCCCCATCCAGGAAAACCGTCTCCTCTTGGAAGCTGGAGGGGGGGGCTTGCTTGGGCTGGTCACCGTGGAACCAGAGGTTCTTGTAGGGCTTTGGGCTAGGGGTCAGGCTGCGGAGCAGAGGCTGCCTGGAGCTGGAGCATACGTAGACGGTGGGCGAGGAGGCTTCTTGCTGAGTGAGGTAGCTGCCCCCCAGCACCTTGGCATACTGAACAGGCTCTGGGTTGTTGATGTAGGAGGTTGGCCCTGAGCCCCCAGTTGGCACAGCTCCTTTGGCTTCATGGGCACCGGAGTCAGAGGGGGCTGCCGGACTCTCCTCCACAGCTGGGCTGGGCTCGCTTTTCCCACAGGAGACGCACTTCTTCTCGTCTGCTTCAATCATGAGGATGGCAGAAACGATGATGGGGCTGAGCTCACACGCCTTGGGGGCCTGCATAGTCTCCTGTGGAAAGAAGGCAGGAGAAGGGACGATGAATGGTGGTGGTAGGGCGGTCACTAAGGAAACCTGGTCCTGGCTGAGTGCAAAGGAGGTGTGTGTGTGGGTGTGTGGGGGGTTTCCGTCCTTGAACACTTTCGGTTGGGGCAATTCATTTCCAGCATCTTCCTTTAGAGGTTAGACTATCACGGGGCAGGAAGGCTTTACAGGTAGTCCTTGTTTACTGACTGCCTTATTTAATGACTGTCTGAAGTTACAACAGTAGACCAAACAGTTTTGTGACCTGTCCTCGTGCAATGCTCACATGGGGGCTATTTGTGTGCTACACCACTAGCTTGCCACAAGCAAAGTTAACAGAAATAAAAGCCAGTTTGATCTAGTGATGAATGTAGTTGGCTAGAAAGTGGGAGTCGGTGAGTTCAAGTCCTTCCTTAGCCATGAAAGCCAGCCAGCTGGGTGACTGTAGCCCAATCACCAGGAAGTGGTGAGTTCTAGTCCCACCTTAGGCATGGAAGCAGATTGAGAAACTTTGGGCCAGTCAACTCTTTCTCACCTCACCTCACCTCACCGGGATGTGGTGGGGAAAATCGGAGGAGAAACGAGTCTCAGGTATGTCCCCCACCTTGAATTATTTGTAGAAATGATAAAGTTGGGATATGAATAAATAAACTTATAAGTTGTGGTCATGTAATGTTCCATTTAGTGACCAAACAAGAAATCAGGCCATAAGTCTGTCATGGTCACATGATTTTCCATTTAGCAATTGCAGGAATGGTCCCAATTGCAGCCACTACCTTACTCTCTGGCTATACCAGTGAGCAAGTCTTCAACAGACAGGGTTCCCTGGAATGGCTCTGGGGAAACTGGGGCGTCTCCAGGTCTTACTGAAGCTGAGAATCGCTTGCTCTCTCTCAGCCAGCCTGCTTCATGCAGACATTGTAAGAGCAGAAGGAAAGGACTCCACTTAACCTCCTGAGAAAGGACTGGATACACACGCATAAATAAACTGAAATAAAGTGTCTTTAGCCTAGTATGCAAACTCTGCTTTGCAACTGAACTGGCCTGTGTTTTACTTGTAGATACCCTGATTATTTCTGTATGCAAAACTCATCAGCACTGAATGATAGTCAATGCCCAGTATTTTGTACGAACACAGCTCAAGTAATTAGTTTGTGGCTCAGCATGTTGTATGAACCCAGAAAACGGGGTTAATTGAGCTGTCAATCGGGGTGCACAAATTTTGCAAATCCAGCAAATGGAAGTGGGCAGGGTCGCTCCCGGTGCCGATACATCCGGCTGGGTGGAAGGTTTGTAAAGCACCAGCTGCTGCTGCTGCAGAAGGAAGAGCAGCCGTTTGTCTCAGTGGCTTCCAGATTTACCTCCTGCAGAACAGCGGGGGCCCACTTGCCCAGACTGCTGTTGGCTGGGTCAGGGACGCTGGGCCAGAACTGCGTCTTCATCCTGGGGGTGAGTTGGAGAGGACAGAAGGAGAGAGAAGCAGCCGGTTAGTCTGGAACTCTGATGGCCAGAGGGGAGTCAAGCTCTATGCCCTGATATTGGCCACTCCCTGTTCTGCTCTTGTCTAATCAACACAGATGTCTGGGACATGGGTCAGGGCCTTTTCTCTCAGGAGAAGTAGCTGTTTAGGAGGGAAATCCTGTCGTACACACGTATAAACTCATACATACAGGGGTGGGATTCAATTTTTTTAACAACTGGTTCTATGGGCATGGCTAGGTGGGCATGGCCATGTGACTGGGTGGGTGTGGATTTTTTTCAGCACCCTGCCATTTTTTTTTGCCTCCTGGGGCTTCGGTGAAGCCCCCGGGGGGGGGGTGTTTTGCTCCCAGGAAGCCTCTCTGGGGCCCAGGAAGGCAAAAAATGGAACACAGGGGGAGGGCACAGCAACCACCTGCTCCCCCCCACTCCCCCTTGCACACCCCTTTTTGCCTCCTGGGCCTCAGGGAAGCCTCCTGGCGAAGCAGTAAGTCAGCAAGGGGGATCCCAGCACAGCTGATCTTCGAAACAGCTGATCATTGGGAGGAAAAAAAGGAATGCCTTAAGAAGTGACTGGGTGGGGGAGAACGCAAACAGCAATGTGCGCGATAAGGACTGACTGGGAGGGGAGGGGCAGGCAGGGAGGGGCAGCAGGGGCAGCCAGGGTCACAATTTGCCAGTTCTCTGAACTGTGCAGAATCATAACAACCAGTTCTATAGAACCGGTCTGAACCGGTAGAATACCATCCCTGCATACATATGAATTTTGGATCTTGTCTTCACACAATCTGCAACACACACACACTCTCTCTATATCATAATCTATGTCAGGTGTGGGGATCTATGGCCCTTTTATGACCTGTGGACCTCAACTCCCAGAATTCCTGAGGCAGCCATTCCCCACACCTGATCTATATCATCATCATCTAAAGTCACTCTCTCACAGTCACTTCTCTCAGACCAACTCTGCTCCTATGGCTTTTGTTGTGTGGAAAACAGGAGTAGGAAGGGCTATTCTGTATGTGGGGGTCTATGCGTCTATCTAACTGAGTAAGTTTGGGGTCTTTATACATTCTGGGTCGCACATATGACCTGTGATTTGGCAAGTATTCTTTTGTTTTTACTAGCATTTTATTTTATTTTTAGCTTTTAGATAAATTCTTGAGAACATTTAGGGGCATTTAGTGCTTCCCCCTAAATTGTGGCACCAGTTTCTGCTCATTATTGGAGCCTCTCCTAAACTCCCCCTTGCCTTGTTTCATGATTGGATGTAAAGAGGAGTTGATTTCAGTTTGAAGGAAACATCAGGATGCTCCCTTCCCCTATGCCAGAGGTCTCCAAACTTGGGCACTTTTAGACTTAGACTTCGGCATAGCTGGCCGAAGAATCCTGCAAGTTGAAGTCCACAAGTCTTAAAGTTGCCAAGTTTGGGGACCCCTTCCCTACGCTGTTATCCTTTCCTTCCTGGACTTGGCTAACCCTAAGTACCCCATGAAACAGGGAGATGTTCTGGCATGGGTTGACAACCCCCACCCCACCCCGAGAGCATGTGGGAGTGAAGTTCAGGGGTGCCATCTCACTCTCTTTCAAAGAAGAACTGGTCCTCTCCTCTCTGCTGCCACCTTCCATCTTCACCTCCAAAGGGATCCAAAGGTCTTACGCAGCTATGGTCTTTGCCCTCCTCCACCTTTGTTGCCGTACAATTTTTTTCCTGCTCGGCCTCTGGCTTCCACCCTGCTGCCTCTGGCTGGGTCTCCCTGCTGTCTCCTGCGCTTGTCTGTGGGAATCTAAACTCAGGTGCCAAAGTGACGCTCTGCAGCTTCTGACTTGCTTCTCCACATACCTTTTGCTCTTCTGAAAGCAGATGACCATGCCAATAACCATGGCCAAGAGCAGCCCAATGAGTAAGTACACAATGGTGATGTCCAGGAATTCTGGAAGAGAGAGAGAGAGAGCAAAGTGTTGGATGTGGGTGGATTAGTGATCGTCTTCCACACATGGAACTAAAAGTGGAACATTGCGGTGGGCCCAGTTCAGAGAATGTGTGTCCGGAGCCAACGGGCTGAATTGTTGTGTCTGCTGGTCTTTGAGCCAGTTGCCAGGCATCTGAATCTTGATCATGTGACCATGGGATTGTTGCAACTCACAAAGTGTGAAAAACAGTCACAAGTCACTTTTTTCAGTGCCGTTGTAACTTTGAACAATCAGTAGACGAATTGTTGTAAGTCAAGGACTATTAATCACAAGTCACTTTTTTCAGTGCCATTGTAACTTTGAACAGTCAGTAGACGAATTGTTGTAAGTCAAGGACT